AGAGAGAGAGAGAGAGAGAGACAGAGACAGAGTCAGAGACAGAGACAGAGACAGAGAGAGACAGAGAGAGAGAGAGAGAGAAAGAGTGGGCTTTCTAACTATACTGAGAAGCAAAAAGATCATTGCTATATATTGGGGCGCTGAGAAATGAACAAACAACATCACATGTATAGATAGAGGATTAGAGAAACCTAAGGAAGCAAGATACTGGAGAATTCAGAACGACTTCCCAGCTGCAAAAAAACTGCCAACAGAAGAAGGAATAAAAAAGACACGTTTCCGCTCAAACTCTGAAGGTGGTGCGGAACAAAAGACGGAATTGTGAACACACTGATCTGATTTTTAAATGCGTGTGTAGACATCACCATCTTGAATGGGGACAATTATAATACATTAAAAAACTCAAAGATCTCAAGCATGTTAATTTTAAGACTAAAATTGAATACAGATACTGCAAATCACAAACTATAGCAGTATACAAGGGCATTTCGATACTTATTATTCAGCTTAAAGAAATAACTAAGCCTCTAGGTACTAAGCAGCTTACTACCTTGTGGCTGAACTTGGGTTTAATGCGAGATAAATGGAGTTGATTAGGAAAATATTATAAATACAACCAAGGTACTGTTATTACCTGTGCAGTTAACTCCATCACCAGAATACCCTGGCTTGCAGGTGCATACAAAGGATCCTTTGGTGTTTTCGCAATTAGCGTTTGCATGACAGTTGTGCTCTCCTCTTTTACACTCATTTATATCTGCAAAAAAGAAGTCCGGCACTGAATAAACGGATTTTTTAGTTTTTCTTTCGCGGCAGGGAAATGTGCCCTACAATAATAGCCATTTCAGGCGATCAATATTTCAATATTCATCTATTTTCCGAGTTCCAAAAACCCTCATTTTTAAAACAAGGTTTTCCTAACACCTTTCTCTTTTCAAATCGATTTCCTTATTAAAAGGCTTTGAGCTTCGCCTCGTTTTAAGACAGAAGCTCCAGTGAAGTCGAAAATGGCTTATTAGAATTAGTAATATACCTGCCTTATTAAAGTGGCATAATATAAATGCTCTATATATGATACTAAAAGGCATTATAGAAATTAACGCGACTTAAATTAAGATGAATAATTAGTGAAAAACCACTTTGGAACAGAGGAAATTGATTTGAAAGAGACTCGGCTACGAAACATCTGAGTGTTTCAATTAAGGAATTTGAGGTGTTACCTTTGCATTTATCTTCATTTTCAAAATAACCTTCCTTGCAAGCATGGCACCCAAAGGATCCTATAGTGTTATGGCACACTGAAGTAGTGACGTCACAGTTGTGTTGTCTTGTGTTACACTCGTTTATGTCTGGAAGTCAAGAGGTAATGCTGAATTATCAAACTGAATCTGTTCTATTTCAGTTTTATATCTGTTGAATAAGAGATAGCAATGCAATGCTTTCGAGACTGGTAGTTCACGAATGAATAAATCAGTTTTTAAAATAAGGCAATTACAAGGGACCTGAATTGATGGCACTTATAACAACGGTAAAATGGCGGATAAAATCAGTGACAAATTATTATTCAAAGTTTTACATGTTGCAAGTTATGTTATTTATGACGAATGATCCCACTAGGAATAAGAAATAACTATTTTGACGGCACGAAGTACCACAGAACCTGGGTGTTAAGCCAGGGGCACGAGTTCATATTAAGTTCTTTCTTTCCAATATTTTCTCCAGTTCCTCAAGTTTTCAGTGATTCAGTTCTGTACATATGCGTTTTTTTCTTTTCTTTTCTTTGTTTATTTTTTTTTCACATTGTTTTCTACTTGTGCCTCCATGGAAGAACCTCTTAAATATTCTTAATTAATCTAGTATGCTTCCTAGCAAGATCAGCTTTTTAGCTATAGGACGCTTGTACCTTACATTAGTAGCATTGTCTTTTGTTAAGGTCTTTTCTTCTGTGTGGTATAAATAAAGTTCTTGTCTTGTGTTGTCTTGTCCATACCGGGAGTATAAAAGGCTACGAACAAATATCGCGTGTACGTCATCTCGGCTTCTGAAACAACCTTTCTTTGGTTTTCTGCATTTTTTTGTTTAGTCTAGGAGAGGCCTATTTCGATTAAATTGTAAAGTCCCGTAGAAACGTCTTTGAGCTTGAGGCTTAGGGGCAGATTTCCTGCCCGCATTTTTTCCCTTCGTGGATTTTTGGGCAGGTTTTTTTTACTTGCCTCTGTCTGACCGCATTTTTTTCTTTTGGCAGCTCAGCTCTGCCATTTTTCTGAATTTTATCACTTCTTATTTTATTTGTACGGTAAGCGCCGTTTTTCACCGGTTCCTTATCTTGTGTATTTAGTCTCGATGTCGCTTAGAACAGCTGTACCGGAACCACTCTTAAGTGGCGACATAAGTCAATGACTGACGCAGTCAAATTGGCAATGCTACAGACCCCCAGCCACAATCGTAATAAACACCTGTTCACCTTAAATGCTGCACCCTAACCGATTCTAACAGCCTAGCTGGCTATTGGCCTTCGTGCTTTGTTAGGTATATTAGTGAAGATGATCTCGTTATATCAAGGATAGATCCCACGTTTTTTCTGTTTCTAAGCCTTTGAGCTCGGTGTTTCCTGTCTCAGACATGTTGGTCACACTTTTTGTTTCCCCAGCCCAACTGGCACTAAGTCTGTGTGCGTTATTGGGGATACAGTTTGAGCTCGACCAGTAGTTAAGTTGTAGCAGTTATTATTATTACTTTTTGTTAAAGCAAGAATACAAATGTTGCCTTTTTGCGGTATTAACATACGTACATTGCAACGTTGGCTTTAAACATACTTTTTAGGCGGTAAAAACTATTTCCGTTGCTATTGATTTCTGAGGGAAAAATTGGAGATGGAGGTAAATCCCTGTTCGTTTCAGCTCCATATTATGTTACCTGCACAGTTGACGCCATCCCCAGTATATCCCGCTTTGCAAGTACACGTGAAGGAATGCTTGGTGTTGGTGCAGTATGCATCATTGTGGCAGTTATGTAGTCCTGTTTTACATTCGTCTACAAATCAGCAAGTAAAAGTTAGTTATAAGAATTTCCCTGACTTAAACGCTTCTCCTGTAAGCACAAACAACTGATATCATGATCTCTTGATTAAAATTCATTGAAAAAACGTTGGTATCAATACTCCAAATAAAAATATATTGCATTTAAAGGCTTGTTATCGTATGGTGTTGCTGGTCTATGTGGTTGCTATACAAGTGAAATTTGACCTTTGGTAATCACAATATTTCGGGGATATAACGAGAAAAGATTTGAACTGTTTTTGAGAGAACAGTTGTCTCGCATGCGCACACATAACAAGCAGAAAAAAAACACTGTTCACGAGAACAGTTTTTCCAACTAGAACGGTATAAAGGAAATCCATAAAGTCATGATTTGGGAAAGGATTTCTCGGGGGGAAGGGGAGGGGGGGGGGGGGGGGCAATCCTTTTTGCTNATCCGGATTTCCCATGCAATCAAACGCACCCTAAGTTTCAATTGTCACCATGAACTGAAAAAGCTTGATCGAATTGAAAGGGGTTAATAACTTGAGAGAAAGGCTTCGAATTTGCATATGGTTTCATTATTTAAGGGAAAAATTTCTCGTCATCCACAACCGTTTAATATAAGCCCCTAATTTTTCCAATAACGTTCCTTAATTGTCAAGTTTGGTAATACACCGATCACAATTTAACACATCCTAAGTTTTCATTTAATAACAACGAAACAGTTTTCCATAAGGAGTTGCTACAAATATTGTATTTTTACCCACTTCTCACAAAATGGCTCATGGACTAGAAATCGTTTATCTAAAATGGAACCATTAAATTCCAAGTCGAAAAATTTTGTGCGTTTTTAGAAAAAAAAAACTAGCATAAACGTTTTCAGGAGCTTTCTTGTTTGCTCTTTTATTCTATAGATATCTAGTCCAACTTATAGCCTTTCATTTACGGAATTGGGGCTCTTTAGCTTTCTGTAATAGGAAGAATTCAAACTGGGAAGAGTAGTGGCGAATAGCGAAATTGGCAGTGGTTTTTTTGCCCAAAATTTTTGTTTAAATCTCTCACAAGATTAGTCTGGATTTCCATAATAAGGCAGCAGTGTTCCAAGTTTTTTTAACCTCCGCCGTCTGGTTATCTCAGTGGGGAGAGAGCCGGTCTGCTGAGCGGGAGGTTGCGGGTTCAAACCCCGGCCGGACCAACACTCAGGTACTTTAAATAACTGAGAAGAAAGTGCTGCCTTCGTAACAACATCTGAAAACGGTTAGACTTTGTAGTCTTCTCGGATAAGGAATAAAAACCGTAGGTCCGACAGGACTTATCTGGTACTTGTGCGACCTAAAATAACCCACACCACTGTACACTGGAAAGAGTATTGGACGTAAACCCGGTGGTGTGGCCAACCTTTTCCTGGCTGGGTGGGTTATTTCCCTCAGGAGTCAAAATGGCTACCTATAGATAGTGTATGTATAAATTCCTGGATTTGCTGCTTAACAACTAAATGGGTTAAACTAAAAGGGTAAGTGGCTTTAGAAATGCAAACTCTGCATTGTTCCAAATAGAACACACTCAACTATCGCAAAGGGTTACACAATTCAAAAGGGCGTGCAATTCGCGCGGAAGGATTTGCTCATCCAAGGTTTTTAATATTGTTATTTATTTTCATTTTTTAACTTACCTGAGCACGTCATTTCAATTTCTCTGGCGATTTCTTCCATAAGTTCTCTGTTCCTCTCCCGCTCTTTAATAAACTCCTCTTCTTCTTTATTCATCGGCACGGGACAAACTAGAAAGCAGCAACACATATGAACAAAAAATTTCAATCTGTAAGCTTTCAACTTTTCAACTTTTCGACTTTGCAAAACAATAATAAATAAAACAATTATTATAATTGTAATAAATTATTCTTTCATAGTAATAAATAATAAGCTAACAGAAAATGACGATGAAATAATAATAATAATAATAATAATAATAATAATAATGATAATAATGATATCAATAACGATAACGATAACGATGATAATGACAATGACGATAATAATAAAATAATAATACTATTATTATTATAAGAATACAGTCAATTCTTTCTAAGACAGATACCTTCTGGCCCGTCCCGACTCTCCGTCTATTTAAGGGATGTGTCCCGCTAATAGACAGTCAAAGTAAGGCGGCGCCGGTAATTAGTCAAGAAATTAAAGCTGAACTTATTCGTGATAAATACACATCTGTTACACTTGTGCAAAACAATAAAAAAAAATCTGAATTACAATGTACTGGAAAGGTAAAATCATTTTCTCATTGTACAATCACACGTGGTCCATATACATGTCAACGTTCACGGCGTCTACTGAACAGCAACAGTAACGCTAAACTAAGTCCAATTTCCCTTGAATTTCACCCCACTTGAGCTTTCCAATCATCTTTACACGGTTAACTTGCGATCGAACTCGGATAACTCGAATTTCCTGCTAACTCGAACTAAATTTCCTTTCCCTTGATTAAAACTGTAATTGTAACATGGCAACTTATTTTTTCAAATCGACCCCGATAACTCGAACCCTCGCTAGCTCGAACTGTTTTTCGTTCCCCTTCAGAATTCGAATTACCGGGGTTCTACTGTACATTAATTACCGTAAGTACTAAAACATATGAAAATAAGTCGTTATAGTGGTTTGTTTTTGATGTCTCTATCTGAAGTTCTCATAAGGCTCAAACAGTTCAGCTAAAAGACCTAAAACATAGCTGTTTTATAGGTTAAGAGGTTATCTTCATTTGGCGTTTAGAAGATACGTGCTGTAAGAATCCATTAGAGAAGAAAACAATAGCGCAAAGCAATTCATGAACGGACACTGAACGAAAGAAATCTTGCCAAATATTGATCGCGCATTTTTTGAAGTGTAAAATTAAAAAATAATAATAAAACAAATATAATAAAGAAGTTGTTAACATATTCACCATTTTTACATCGCCCGTAAAACATCTTGTTTACCCCCCAAAAACTTTGCATCAGCAAATTGCCTTCAATAGACCAGTTTGGAATTAAAAACTACCGCAGAATACAAACATTAACGGCACATTTATACAGGGTTAGCCTCGACGTAAAGTAAAATATTCAGAAATTCCGGCAAGTAAGTGTTTAAAATTTGAATATACACAATAGACAGAGTAATAAACAGGTCTTTTTCTTGTTGGAATTTGTAAATATATTACTTGAGATGGAGGCTAAGCCTGTAAAAAATGCGTCTTTACTTCTTTAATTCAGCGGTCATAGCGAACTCGAAACTGGACTATTTCTCTTATGATGACTGCTTACTCCAAGGAAAAATTGAAAACAATTCTCATGCAAATTTTATGGACGATGTGAAAATTATGGTGAATGATGTTTCAGGGAAAGTGTAAAAATGAAAATTTTAAGCGGCTTTCTGTACATGAAGGAGAGACAGGATGTTAAAATAAAATGGCGACAATCCGAAGGTGCGCAATTAAATTTTTAACCTGAGATCAGGCTCTATTTTCGTTTCGCTTTGAAAATAACATTCCGGCGGGCAAGGCGAAACGAAAAGAGAGCCTGATACAAACTTTCTACGAAACGTCTGCCGCCCACTTTTTTGATTGATTGACATTTGCCGAATCAGTCAACCAAAATTACTTCCGTTGCTTATTTTTCTAGTATGCAAATTTTTCACGCGTGGGAAAAATGCAGACTGGCTGACTTAAAAAAAAGTTTTTATCTGTTAATTTTTTCAGCTAAAAATAAAACAGCCAGCACAATCACATTTAACTTCTTGCGAGATTAAGGGAGATCTCGAAGGTAATTTCTGTTAGCGTAGAAGGTAAAAAGTTTTCGAAACGACGGCGACACGATGTTCTACTAGTTTTATTTTATTTTGGCTAGGCGCGATCAAACTTAAAATACTGAAATTTCTATTTTTCTGTTGCCTTAATATTTCCCTCGGCAATTTTCCCCGATTTTTAGTACATAAATCTTTAAAAACAAAAGTAAACAGCCAACGAGCGAGGACACCAGTTTCCCTGGTACATTTTTTACAAAAAGCGAAGGCAAACAACCAGTCTGTTACCTTTTTAAAATGCCTACAAAAATTCCTTGAACAGCGATGCGATATTTTTCGAAGGGTGCAATCGAGCGAAAAGTATCTTAATGGATCGTTATGGCAAGGAAAGTGAAATTGTGAAAGCGTATGTGCAAAATATTCTTGATCTGCCCAGGATTTAAGGAACAAATCCACAAAAAATCCATCAGTTATACGAACAACTGCGGTACGATGTACAATCACTGGAAACAATGGAAAGCTGGGAGATGTCAGAAGAAACGGGCGTTGACGATTGACAAGTTAGCTGGGATTCGCGGAGATTTGGTTCGCAACGACGACGATTGGCAAAACTGGGATTTTGTCAAACTTTGTGACGCATTGGGCTCCTGGATACGTCGAAATCCAGTGGAATCAAGTGAAGATCATCGAGATGAAACGCCACAATCGAGACGTCATCAAATAGCTCGGAGAACAAACACGTGCGTGCGTGTACTGTGAGGACCCCACACACAGAGGTCTCGAGTGTCATCGTGTGACATCTTTTAATGAAAGGAAAAACATCTTGGCGACAAAGAAGCTCTTTTTCAACTACACCGGACCAAAACACCGAGCAATCGAATGTAACAGCAAAATTTCTTGCCCTCATTGTGTAAAAAAAAACATGACACATCAATCTGTAATCGTCAACAAGCACATGAGCCGGGGATGACCGCTTCGCAAGTGGGAAATTCAGCCGTCATTCACCCTGTAGTAATCGTCAAGGTAGCAGGATACAAATTTCGGGCCCTTCTCGACAACGGTGCAAGCCATTCATACGCATCATCGACTTTTGTGAATCTAACAAAACCTGAACACAAAGCTTCCGGAGTTCGTCAAATTGCAATGCTTGTGGGCGTGGCTACGTGAGTCATGCGAGAGTACAAAGTGTCGATGCAGTCTGTGACAGATGAGTTTTCTTTAGACGTGAATGTGACCAAAGTTGACAAACGGGAATTACTCTCATTGAAAAACCCCAAGTATAAGGAAGTCCTGGCCAAGTATCGCCATCTGAGAGGGGTGTACATCGACGATGATGACGACAAAAGAGTGCTGGCTGTCCATGTCATCCTGGGAGCAAACGACTTTGCGAGAATACGTACCGGGGAGCGATTACGAGTTGGTCGCCGTGGAGATCCCGTAGCTGAGTTTACACGCTTTGGGTGGACGCTGATGTCTCCAGGTGCTGAGACCGATTTATCTCCAGTGTACCTTGCTGTTAACTCTACTGCCGACTACGAACGTCTGTGTGCTTTGGACGTACTTGGTCTTGCAGACAGTCCTACAGGCGATCAAGAAGACGTATACAGTGAGTTTAAGGAGCAGTTGACGCGCTCTTCAGCTGGCCGATATGAAACCGCACTACCTTGGAAAGGTGACCATCTTCCACTTCCTAACAATTAAAACGGCAGCCTTCTCCGCTTGAATTCCTTGTTACGCAAACTTCGACGACGAACAAACATGCTAGCCCAGTATGATGCTGTTATCCGAGAGAAACTAGAAGAGGGTGTGGTCGAAAGAGCACCTTCTGAAGCGATGGGAAAAGAATTCTACTTGCCTCACCAAGAAGTAGTTCGAGAGAACGCTGAGACGACAAAACTTTGAGTGGTGTACGACGCCTCCGCTCACGCCCATAATGATGCACCATCTCTCAATGATTGTCGTCACGCTGGCCTACCGTTACAGAACCAGCTATGGAGCGTGTTAACTCGTAACCGATTCCACAGTGTGGCTGTCACACGGGACATACGGAAAGCGTTTCTTTAGATAAAGATCCGCCAAGCCGAGCGAGACTTATTACGGTTTCATTGGATTAAAGACGTGTATTTGAGCGAAGTGGAAATTCTGCGTTTCACCCGAGTGGTGTTCGGTTTGGCCCCGTCCCCGTTCCTGCTCAACGGAGTTATCCAGCAACACCTTGAACTGTGGAGACCAAGGCTCCCAGAAAGCGTCAGTGAAGCATTAAAGAGCCTGTACGTAGATGATTTTATCTCAGGTGGCCCCACCGTGACAGACGCAAAGAAGTTGAAACGTGAAACGGCTGAAGTTTTTGCTGACGCAAGGTTTGAACTCCACAAATGGCACTCAAATGTACCAGACCAAGAGACGATTTCCAGCGATGACGAACCCACCTTTGCCAAGCAGCAACTTGAAAATAGATTGAACCTAGGGAAGATTAAACTCCTTGGACTCCCATGGGACAAAGTTCAGGACACGTTAAGCGTAGTCTTTCCTGCTGAAACAGCTGAGTTGACGAAGCGCGGAGTTCTTGCAAATTTGGCCGAAGTCTACGACCCGCTTGGATTGGTGTCGCCCGTGATGCTGGAGGGAAAATTGATCTACAGAGAAATTTGCAACCAAAAACTCGCTTGGGATGCTCCGTTGCCAGACGTTTACGCAAATCGATGGAAAAACTGGGAACACAAATTGCCAAACAGTGTCACTCTGCCGCGCAGTTTGCCAACCTATAAAGAACCGATCAAAGAAATAAAGCTGCACGCCTTTGTGGATGCCAGTGGACATGGTGTGAGTGCTGTGATTTATGCTGTTGTTACGCAAGAATCTGGCGTTACACAAGGTCTGGTTGCTGCCAAGTCTCGTCTTGCCAAACAAGGGCTGACCATTCCTCGTCTCGAACTGATATCGGGACACATGACTGTTAATTTGGTGACAAACGTACACAAAGCATTGGAAGGGTTTCCTCTCGCAACCGACATCCAGTGCTGCTTGGATAGCACAGTTGCATTACACTGGTTGCGTGACCAGGGCGAATATCGTCAGTTCGTCACAAATTGCGTGCGAAAGATTCAAAGTCATCCAAACACTCAATGGCGTCACGTACCTTCTACTGAGAATCCTGCAGACCTCGGTAGCCGCGGTAGGAGTGTGACAGATGTACAGCTGTGGTGGAGAGGCCCAGAGTGGTTAGCAGACCTAACAAGCCGGCCAGAAGATATCGTGACGCAAGCGAGCCAACAAAGTGATGCAGAAAGGAAAGTTCAACGAGAGATCTTCGCGGGGGCAATCAAAATCAGTGATGGCCTTGATCGTGTCCTTGAGAAGTCTGACCTGCACAAAGCCCTCAGAGATTGCGCATGGGTGTCACGTTTCATTCGCAACTGCCAGCACCCTTCGGAGAAGATCCTAGGTCCCCTATTGATACAGGAAATCACTGCATGCAGACTCTTCTGGATTAAACGAGCGCAACAGCAAGGGATCAGTGACGACCACTTCCAAGAAGACAAGTTACAGCTAAACCTACAGAGAAACGTCGATGGGGTGTTCGAATGCCGGGGACGCATTCAGGGAGAATACCCCATTTTCTTGCCGGATTCTGCCCTTTACACCATCAAAGTAGTTTAGCGCGCCCACGTAACCACTTTGCACGGGGTATAATACTTATAATAGGTTCGTGAAGTCCAATGGGTACCTCGTCTTCGCAAACTCACCAAACGAGTTCTTAGGAACTGTTGGGGTTGTAAAAGGTTTCAAGCCGTGGCTGCTCCTCGCCTACCAGCCGGACCCCTGCCAAGGGACAGAACGGAAGGAGACAATCCCTTCAGCGTCATTGGAGTAGACTTCACCGGACCTGTCAAGTATCTGCAGCGGAAATCAAAGAAGGAACAGAAGGCGTACATCGTGATATATTCTTGCAGCTTGACCCGTGCAGTATTCTTGGAATTGCTACCAAACTTGGAAACGGGAGAATTTATCAAAAGCCTCAAACGCCTGATAGCGAGAAGAGGGAGGCCGACAAAGATTTACTCAGACAACGGGAGAACGTTCATTGCCGCAGCTAATTGGTTGAAAAAAGTACGCAAAGATGAAAGGCTTAACACCTTTCTCGGCACTCACGAAATAACCTGGCAGTTTAATTTGAGCGGCGCCCCTTGGTGGGGCGGACAGTTGGAACGACTGATCGGGGTAATGAAGGGTGCCTTCTACAAGACAGTGGGACAAGGTCAACTATCCTGGGACGAGCTCAGTGAGGTGCTCCTGGACGTTGAGATAGTACTGAACAACTGGCCCCTCAGTTACACAGAAGATGACGTACAACTACCCACGCTGACGCCGAACGCCCTGTTGTTCGTCAAGTCCAACATCTTGCCAGAACTGCAGTCGTGCCATCTGAAAGAAAAGGACCTCAGAAAACGAGCGAAATTCCTTCAAAGGAGTAAAGATGCGATTTGGCGCCGTTGGTCCTCTGAATATCTACGAGCACTACGAAAACAACACCGCCTGAAGTATGGAAATTCAAAGAATCCTCTGTCAGAAGGGGATGTGGTGATATTGAGGTCAGAAGAACGAAACCGAAACCACTGGCCACTTGGGATCATAGAGAAGCTAATTGAGGGGCGTGATGGCGTAGCTCGTGCAGCTAAGGTGCGAACTCGGAAGACCGTCCTGGAGAGTGCCATACAACATTTGTACCCCCTGGAATTGTCGTGCGACAGATCAAATAATGCAACGCCTCTCAACCCTACCGCGCCGCCATTCAGGCCCAGACGGGATGCAGCAGCTGCAGCAGAGTTACGTATCCAAGACATTGCCAATGATAATCAGTGAACATTGAATTTGAGACACTCATATAGCCAGAACTTTGAACCGAACATTTCATTTGTTGCGTTACTCGATCAATGTCGTTTAGTTTTTTTACTTTTCGTTAAAACTCGGTTTCCTCAGATATTACATATGCCACGTAAACGAGCCATATAAAGGGATTGTGTTTCGGAAACTGTTAATTAAGCCGTGATTGTCATTTAATTAGCTTTCTGTCGCTTTGTTCACAACGTAGAGTTTTATAGTGGACATTTGATCTTTGGAAATTGATCTTGTTGTGCAATCGATATTAGAACACGTTTTTTTACTTCGAGACTAGTTTTTTTTCAGAACAACATCGGGACTAGTGTATATCTGTGAGTATTGTGAAATAAACGGGATTTTGACAGTGATTACTGAGTGTTGGAAGTTACCACACGGAGGCAATTTTCGACACCTACGCAGACGACGGATCATTCACGAAAACAACCAGATCTTGTGGCATTTTTCTAACAGACAATCAGCGTTACGGCCAAAATCTGGCCGTAACAAGCAAAAACGTGAAATAGTTTGTATCAGGCCCAATTTTAGCTGTAGCCATTAGAGAGAATGTATGAGAACCGCCAAAAATTGGGCCTGACCTCAGGTTACTAAATTTTTGTCGTAGTTATTACCTCCATGATTTACATCTTCCTCTGTTATCATCGCGACTGGGAACATGATAACGAAAATAGTGATTAATGTTTTCATGCCTACCATCTTCCAATCTGTTGAAAACAAAATAATCTTGGTTCATAGCATGTCACTGAATTTATTTCGTGGGTGTTAAAGAGTTAAGCACGCAAAGTTTAATAACCACGAGTTAGCAGGAGGGGAGGGGAGGGGAGGAAGGAGGTACCCTGGAAAATAGGCTTTGATAGACTGTGCTCGCAAAAGTAACATGATATGCTACTTGCAGTGCTCGTATTATTTCAAAAATTATGCTAATAATTCCACTAGTTTTAGTAAATTAAGCTCGTTTTAGCAAAGAAAATTCCGAAATTATGCTTCTCACTTTTTACTTGAAATTTGTTTAAAAAAAACACCTCAATGCTTCATTTCCAAGTAAATGGCAAACTCATTTACCCTATTTACACCAAGAAACTTTAAGAATCCTTAATTCATTTTCTGATAAGTATAAAAACTCAACCAATGAATAACCAACACGCGGACGCCACCCCAGGTAACCGAGCTTGTTATGTCCGTTCGAATTACGCTAGCAGTGCTTTTTTTCGAAAAATAGATGACAATTATGCTCGTGGTGACTAAATGTGCCAAAAATTATGCTAGTCCAATCTATCAAAGCCTACCGGAAAATCGCGGTAATGCCACGATGTATAATTCGTTAAATCCTTTACCTATCTCCCATATATGCATTACCCTGGTCAGGGTAATAACTGGGGATAAAATCTCTCTCCTATTTGCAGACAATAACGTTAATTATCTATGCAGCTAATATACATAATTATATGATCCTATCAGAAACTTGTATAGAGGAGTTCCCCCGGAGACGGAGACAGATTATTATAAAGAAGTACCCCAGGGAATTATATAGTCCGTTCGCAGATCACTCTGGTGTTTATTTGATCAAACAAAGTCAATTTTAAAAAGCCTGTTCAAGCTTTGTGGGAGATCGCGGAGACCGAGAGTTAGAATAAAAAAAATAGAAAAATAGAGGCCAATTAGGCTGCTGTCTTAAAAAGACTTCTTTACACTATATCTTTCAAAAAGTTTTTTTTTATTTTTGCATTTTTGTAAGTCGCGAGTACCACGTAAAATTTTGAATATATTTCCCGAGAAAACATAGATAAAATGAAATTTGAATTTGTTCTATGACATGGTTGTTTTACTGAAAAAAAGATAACTTCTTTTCCTTTAAAACAATGCATTTTATTTTTAGAGAAAGATCCGAGCTGCATTTTGCTCAGTTGTTTAAGTTTGATTCTAGTTCAAGTTTCAGAAATATTTCAATCAATAAAAAAAATAGAATTTCTTGTTACATAAAATATATCGTCGTTTTGGGGAGAAAATAATCATAATAGAGGTAAATAAACAAATCATAGAGTAAATAAAGAAAGAATGGAAAGGTCGAAACCGACCAGAGAATAGAGAAACTCATGGCCATCAAGGTTATCATAAATACTAGTTATAAATTATCTACATCATGGGTCCGAGTGTGTGTTCATAAAAAAATAGGTCTCTCGTTAGGCGAAGGGAAAGTCTGCTTAGCTTGCGTCTTGTCGCCATGATCAGTCGGTGTTCTTCTGTGTCCAGTAGTGTCCATGCAACACCCGATATTTTTCGTTCTTTTTTATTTATATAGCAAATGTCGCTGATGGAGAAAAATTTTGCATTTTTCCGCCTGTTAAGAATTGTAAAAAACATCACTTTCCAGTGAACGCAATCCAATCACTCTAGCTGAAATCATTGTCAAAACCGTGCAACACTGTAAAGCAGAAATAGGAAATTCTGAAAGGACAAGGTCATTGATACATCGAAGTGCTTCTATGAACCAGCGTGGCGTGAGCGATGAGCATGCTAACCGCTGTAAAAGGAATTCAAGTTCATGTATACGACGACTGTCAAAATAAAAACAGAAGCTGTTCATGCATTGACGTGAAACATAAACTAAAAGACTTTTTTTGAATAAATAAAAAATAAAGAAATACTGTAATGAAAAACAATGTTAAATGTTTCTTTTCAGACGACATCTGCTATTTGTAGATTGAATATCTTGAGAACTTGACGAGAAATATGCAGTTGAAGACGGGAACTTTACATCGATTAAGGTAACGGTAAGCATGTTTTAGCTATCTTTTTGAACTAGAAATTATTTTGAATAAATAATAAAACAATGATTGGATACGAATAGATTTTTCAACCGCTGAAACCGGAAGGGAGGAAGGATGGAAGGAGAGAGGGATTTGTGGATGAGAGGACAATAGACGGCCCGTCTTTAAAATATATAATAACATGTATATAACACATATATATTTTACATACACTGAAAGTGATGCCGAAATAAACAGGAATATTGCACTCACGCTGGTCACGATTATAGTAAAATATCACTGAAATAACTAAGAAATAATGTAGGTAAAATCACCTCCCACCTCCATGTCATTCTTGCTATTTAAAAGTTTTAGTTTCTTACCTCAAAATTTTCAGCTCTTCTGATCAGTTGTACATCTCCTAACTTTTGGAGGCTAAAAGAGTTCTGACTGCTGTTCGCTTCTTCAATTGTCTGAGTTTTTTGTCTGTGAAGATCCAAATACGCCCAGCAATTAAAACTCAAAACAACATTTAACGGAGGATAT